GAAAAACACTCAACAGTTTTTGTCACTGCTTCATTAATTATTTGGCTAGAAGGGTGATGGACACATGTGAGAAAGGCTTATAGACCTTTCTCCCTCCCTTGCTCCTAGGCTGTAATTTTTTAACTACAGAAAAATTCAGTTTCCTTTGCTTTAGCAGTGCAAAGATTGGGTCAGTTGGTTGATTGTAAATTCTTTGTTACTGCCTGGTAGCAGAGACCATTTTATTGGTCTCTAATAAATCACTACTAGAATTGGATTAGGACAACACTGGTGATGTTGGACTTCTGTTACAGGAAGACAAAAAAACTGGTCACAAGTCTAGATAACCACAAAATTAGATTTATGAATGGACTGGATTAAGGGAATGGAAAAATATCAGTTTTTAATTGCAGAAAAGGCTGTAAGGAAATGTCATATTGACGCTTTATTCTTGGAGAGCTGCCAAGGCTTTACGTACAGAAGCTGTGCCTTATGAGGTCACATCCTTTATGCCTTCTTTTGATTTGGGTTGTTTTTATACTGGTGTCTGGGACAATTCTGTTTACAAGAAAGAAGCATCCTCCTTTCCTACAGAATAAGGAAGAAATATCTAGAGCTAGCAAATGTCTGATTGTACAGTCTGCTAAATCTGATGCCATTTCTTTTCCTGTAATCTCCTTCCTCTCTTTTTTTGAGAAACAGCTCTACCCCTTTCCCACGTACATACCTGCCGTGGCATACTTTGTAGAAGCACTTCTTATCCAAAGACTGACAGACAAAAATGTATTATGGACAATTAACAAATAGCCAGTTACACAGCTGTCAGATAGGCACCTATTTTAATTCAATTAATTTCAAAAGAGATTGAAAAACACTTTATAAAAGTCCTCTTGAAAGTGATGCTGTGGTTAAGATATTATGATATGTTATCTCATGTAGATTGTTAATGCCAACTTGCCATCTGTTTGCACAAACAGGAAGCACCTCCTGATATCTGTCCTGTTCACCTTTTCTTAACATAACAACCGCAGTGAAAGAAAAAGGAAATGGCTTTGCATTGCACCTTTTAAAGTAACACTTTTAAAGGCTGCTACTCTGCATAGGACCCATCAGTTGGTACAGACATAAATATTGCCTTACTTCTTTCATATCAAACTTCATTAAAAAACATACTGAAAGCAAGAAACACATAGTTGCTTCTTTTCTAACATAAATTCTTCAACAATTTATTGACTCCAAAGTAGAGATACTGAAGATCTATACAAAGAAAAAGCATAGCCCTGA